TCAGGTAACGTTACCTCAGTTCGCTTGACCTCAAGGTTACGTGAGTTCAAGGTCATCATGTATATCATTCGATGCGCCTTGACGAGCTGAACACAATGATACCATTTGCGCGGCTGTATCTTTTTTCTGTAAGTATTTATTAGCAAAAAAGCGTTAGGTGACCTTTGATGACGTCACATACCCTTACAGCTGTCCAATAGGAAATATGGCATCAAGGTAGTCAAAGTTGGTCATAAACTATGTCCTTTATGGCATAATTGACCATGACAACTCGGCCGTCCCAGCATATTGACTCTGAGCACACCGGCCAAGTTGCCCCGCTAGTCCCGGCCAAATGACCCCACATTGCCATTCTGAAATTTTTTGTCTATAAAGTCGTCATGGCTGTACAGAACTAGATGAAATTGCTCTTGGAACCGCTGAACACCCTCAAAAATGGCGCTATAATGTTGGAATTTGTTTACAGCCCAAATACTACATGTTATACACATTTTTAAACGGAAGTAAAAGTTACCACTTTCTAACGAAAATCACCTTTTATTAATTTTGAATAAAACTAAGAGGGGGAAAGTTTCGACATTTGTTCTCGAGTTAGTTCTGCCGACGACAAATGAATAGAGACTAGACAATAGAATAGAATAGAATAGAATAGAATAGACAATAGAATAAGTTATTTCATTCACTTTTATCAGCTTTCGTACAGGTGGGGGCGGCCAATTTACACCACCGGCCAAATTACCCCATTCTCCCCTACATGTGTGGTAGCAATGTGTTGTCAACAATAAATCATCAGATGTCCACACCGCAATATGTTGGTTACAAGGTCCGGTTGCAGCCAACCAACAATCCCACAAAGAAAGTCAGTGCGTCAGGCCCCTCAATGCGTCACTGTTGCGGCTTGCGTTCAGGCCATGGAGTCAGCTCGCTCTGCCCGGCGACATTTATAGACTATCGTTATCAATAGCCGGGCCGGCGCAGCGGTCCGGCTTCATCTCCAGAAGCCGCGCTAAGCCGGTGCTCTTTGACACTCGGCAAATAAAAACGGCAGCCCGGGACAGGCCCGATACTCGCGGCAGGAATCGCGAGAAAATAACGAACTGTCGAGACAGGCTGGTATAAAGGACAGTGTGTGCAGGTGTATTTAAGATGAGGTAAGGAGCCTTTTAGGCGTGTATGTTGCATTGTTTTAAATAGGTACAATCCCATTAAAAACATAGAAAATGCATAATATTGGGATATAGAATTAAAAAAAAAATGCTTTTGAACTTATTTCAAAATGACAAAATGTACCTCTCCGTAACTAAGTTATAAACGTAAAAGTAATATTCGATGTCGTAGAAGAATAACCTTATGCTCACTATCTTTAAACAATCCAAAAAATTAGCCTAAAATCAATGAATATATTTCGGAAACGTTCCTTCTTCAGTTCAAAAAGTTAACTATACAAGCCACAGAAATGTACAAATAATTGAACGTCACAAAAGCGCCGAATTCACTGATCCCTCCTACGAATATTAGTCACATTCTCGTGCCATATAAGTAGAACGGCCTCTTTTAATCAACGCAAGACTAAAATAACAGGTATACATAAGTTAACGTAACCAAATACAACTGTATGAGATCACTTGTGACCCAACGAATAACTATGCTAGTCATCTTAGAAACACACAATATAATTACAACTAACATGCAAGGTGTACACAACCAACTACTCAATAGATCGATTGTCTAGCCAACAAACTAGCCATTCATCCAATTGTTCAATCAACTAGTTACACCCATTACATTCAGTCATGGAGTCGACAAACCATTCAAGTATCCATTCCAAATCATTCAATCAAACGTTTTATCATACAATCAAGCAGTCATTCAATCAAACAAACAACGATTTTATCATCCAATCAAGCAACCCTTCAACCATTAAATCAATCAGACCCACAGTCGTCCATTCAATCATCTATCAATCTACCATTCAATATTCCATTTAATCATACATATAATCAACCATTCAATGATTCATTCAAACATCGGCATTTAATAAAACATCTAACTAAGCATCTCAAAAGCCAAAAGATCTAACAGTCATGAGGCTATCCCAACATCTATCACGTCTCAGTCTGACAGTTCACACTAATCACAGAACTGCCCAAGATGCGATGTTGGTGTTTAGGGCTGGTCGGTATGTCCTTATCCATAGCGACTCTGCTATTTTTTCTGTCTCTGCTGGTGTTGCATGTCTGTAGGATCTTGGCCGCGATGTGTTGGGGCTCTGGGCGACATCGAGGGTGGTCATCTCTGAAGTGGTCGCCCCACGGTGAGTCCATACGGTGGTTCTTCGCGTCCCGTAGATGTTCATTGTAGCGAAGTCGTATGTGACGTCCGGTTTCGCCGATGTAGCTCCGGTTGCACAGCGTGCAGGTAAGTTGGTATACCACTCCGGAACTGTGGCACCGGCCCTGTAGTCCTGCAGCACACGAGTGGCAGCGTGAGCCACCAGGACACGGAGGTGGTTTCAGGGCCGAGCGCACCAGCTGGTTCTTGATGGTCTGTTTGTTGGTCCAGGTCACTCCTAGGTTCTGTTGGCCACTCTTGTGTACGATGGCCTGTACGGTTTGGGCTAGCTTGTCATCGATGAAAGGTAACACGAGCCTTGTTACCGGCGTTGCTCGTCTTCTTGGTCTTGGTCTTGAGGTCTGGCAGCAACTATACATGAGGTATATCGACGACGTACTCGGAGTGTGGACCCATGGCTCTGCCAATCTTCAAGAGTATTTCCGTCACATCAACGACGCACATCCATCGATCAAGTTCACCATCGAATCGACTGACAAGACGCCATCCATTCCCTTCTTGGACACCAGCATCACAGTCGAACCCACGGGAAAGTACACCACTGAGCTGTACATCAAGCCCACATCGGCTGGTATCATACTACACGCTGACTCTGCACACCCGTGGAAAACCAAGCGAGCTGTGCTGCACTCCCAAATACGACGTGCCATCAACATCTCCAGTGACAACAGCGCTCGTGAACGCAGCATAGAGAAAATCAAAGACCTGTTCCTGAACAACGGCTACAACATGCGCACCATCAGCAGAGCCATCAGTTGCTGCCAGACCTCAAGACCAAGACCAAGAAGACGAGCAACGCCGGTAACAAGGCTCGTGTTACCTTTCATCGATGACAAGCTAGCCCAAACCGTACAGGCCATCGTACACAAGAGTGGCCAACAGAACCTAGGAGTGACCTGGACCAACAAACAGACCATCAAGAACCAGCTGGTGCGCTCGGCCCTGAAACCACCTCCGTGTCCTGGTGGCTCACGCTGCCACTCGTGTGCTGCAGGACTACAGGGCCGGTGCCACAGTTCCGGAGTGGTATACCAACTTACCTGCACGCTGTGCAACCGGAGCTACATCGGCGAAACCGGACGTCACATACGACTTCGCTACAATGAACATCTACGGGACGCGAAGAACCACCGTATGGACTCACCGTGGGGCGACCACTTCAGAGATGACCACCCTCGATGTCGCCCAGAGCCCCAACACATCGCGGCCAAGATCCTACAGACATGCAACACCAGCAGAGACAGAAAAAATAGCAGAGTCGCTATGGATAAGGACATACCGACCAGCCCTAAACACCAACATCGCATCTTGGGCAGTTCTGTGATTAGTGTGAACTGTCAGACTGAGACGTGATAGATGTTGGGATAGCCTCATGACTGTTAGATCTTTTGGCTTTTGAGATGCTTAGTTAGATGTTTTATTAAATGCCGATGTTTGAATGAATCATTGAATGGTTGATTATATGTATGATTAAATGGAATATTGAATGGTAGATTGATAGATGATTGAATGGACGACTGTGGGTCTGATTGATTTAATGGTTGAAGGGTTGCTTGATTGGATGATAAAATCGTTGTTTGTTTGATTGAATGACTGCTTGATTGTATGATAAAACGTTTGATTGAATGATTTGGAATGGATACTTGAATGGTTTGTCGACTCCATGACTGAATGTAATGGGTGTAACTAGTTGATTGAACAATTGGATGAATGGCTAGTTTGTTGGCTAGACAATCGATCTATTGAGTAGTTGGTTGTGTACACCTTGCATGTTAGTTGTAATTATATTGTGTCACAGATAACAGTAGTACTACTGTTATCTGTGATTGTGTGTTTCTAAGATGACTAGCATAGTTATTCGTTGGGTCACAAGTGATCTCATACAGTTGTATTTGGTTACGTTACCTTATGTATACCTGTTATTTTAGTCTTGCGTTGATTAAAAGAGGCCGTTCTACTTATATGGTACGAGAATGTGACTAATATTCGTAGGTGGGATCAGTGAATTCGGCGCTTTTGTGGCGTTCAATTATTTGTACATTTCTGTGGCTTGTATAGTTAACTTTTTGAACTGAAGAAGGAACGTTTCCGAAATATATTCATTGATTTTAGGCTAATTTTTTGGATTGTTTAAAGATAGTGAGCATAAGGTTATTCTTCTACGATATTCAATAATGCTGCTCATTTTAGTACTTCGCCATCTTATTACACTTAATGTAATATTCGATGAATAAAGTGCAGCAAACGTATAAGTGTAAATATTATTTGAAACCAAACTGTTAACCGAAATTTGAGGTTTTCTAAGCTAACTATTTATAATTCATTACAATATTATCAGTTTCAAAAGTAGACTAGCCACATCTGGTCCTTGAACAATGAATCACAGGCATATGTAGGATGCATAGTCAGCCGACTATCAAATTATTCAGCCAGAGGATGTCAACTGCAAGGGATTCACGCTGCGACCGTCAAAACTTCCTCGATGTGTCCAGTTCCTACTCGACAAGACAGATAACTCTTTTTTAAATTATTTGGGCCAGATATTGGGTGGGATAATATTGCATGAAAGAACATCGGTCGGAACTTATGAATATTATCAACAGCATCGTAAGCAACAAAGATATCCTCATCATAGGCGCTCTGCTTACCTGAAGTTTTCCATCCTTCAAGTCTTGTTTTGTTGTATCAAGCAGCACTTTCAGAGACGCAATGGCATGAAGCTGCGTTGCCTTCTCGTCAACTTTTCCTGAAAATAACACGACATCATCAGTAAACAAAGCTAAGCACAACGTTAAGTGTGCAATAAGACTATGTAAGCATATATGTAACAGTTTTTCCATGCACATTGCACTTACATATACAGACACTATACACCGTACTTGTAAGGGCATGTATGTAGGTATAAAGACGAGTTCTACGCCGGCGCAGTGCACATGCTTCATTTATTATCCTACAGTGATACTAGTGAAGTCAAATACAAGATGATGGTTTTTGTTTAAAAGATATTACTCTTGCAATATGATAGATTGCTTTTCTTAGGAATACATTTCTCCATAAAATTGACATGACTAAAAAAAAAAACGATGAGCACATCCCAACGATGATAACAATGGCCTCAAAGTAAGTGTTGAAATGGTTCCATCCGTCCCGGCGATGGGATGCGCCATACAGACTGGATTGCCGAGATGCCAGCCCCTCTCTACCTCGGAGTCAGTCAGAAAAAGCATATAGTGCTTGCCGCCGTTGCCACTGGCAACCGTTAAACATGTCAGCTATCGTTACTGACCTGTTACCGTTAGCAACCAATAAACATGTCCTGTGGTGCCTGCGCTCAGTCATGTTGATATTCTGGATCATTAAAAAAGAAGAACGGTGTGCAGCGTGCAGGTCGTGTTTGCGATCTAACAAGTGTTTTACGATTGTTCAAAGCTCTTTTGGCACAGCATTACCTGCAATTAGACGTGGTAATTGCAAGTTATATGCAACGTTCGTGAACCTCCCGCAGTCAATATATCTGGCATTCCTACCTCAAGTATGTTGCCATCTATGCATTATTTAGCGCTTATACATGTAACCACATTCATGCATATTGCACAACTATTGGCGCAATGGTCTAGTAAGAATATGGCGAAATGGTCTCTTAAAATTTCTCGTCCCATGCCCTTATTGAAAAGCTAAATACCTATCGTGAATTCTTGCATGACAAAGTAGAGCGCAAAGACCAAGACGGGTCAGCTGAGTTGAGTGGTCACATTGAGTTCCACGGTCTCGCAGCACATGTCTCGACTTACCGTTGTGCATTGGGTCAATGGAGTGAATCATGAGCTGCAGCAGGCCCTGGCGGAACTTGGAGCCCGAGTGGATGATGGGGGTGCTCGGCCGGCGCGTCAGACCCTGCTGGCTGCCCGGCTGAAACGGAGACCGGAGACGAATTAAACGGAGACGAAAGATGAATTAAACGGAGACGGGAGGCGAATTAAACGGAGACAGGAGACAACCAGCTGGGGACAGACGATAAACGGTGATAAAGAGCAGCGTTCAGGCGCCTGGTAGGGGAGAGCGGGGCCAGTTGAACCACTTTTTATATATTGACATGCACAGCGAGATCTAGTTGTCATATCGAAAAATGCACAATGCCATGAAAAAATATGCCCTTTTGGCTTTATTTTAAGATATGTAAAATTATGTTTCGAACATATTTCGCTGCCAAACGCATGCTTATAAAACAGCTCTACGCCCGTTTCAAATGACCCCGATGCGAGGGTCAATTGAACCAGCCCATGGGGTCAATTGCACCTATCCTTTACAATGGGATGTTTTCCTCTTTAAGGCCACTTTCTGAAGGAGATATTTTGTCCGGTTTACTTTTCCAAATGCTCCATTCAATAGGTCGTTGGAAAGCTAAAAGTGCAAAGTTCCTCATAATAGGTGACATAAAGTACATAGACTATGGTAAAATGGGCGGATGAGAAAAATGAGAAATATCTCAGGCTAAAGTGTGCTTTCAAGCAAAAGGCTGGAGAAAAAGGGGTCAAAAATTGAACTCTATTAAACTACTATTTCAGTTTAAAAGCTCATTTCCAAGGTGAACTATTTCCTTTAATGTTTACAGCCCCTGAACAATAACAATTGCAAAGGTCGCCGGGGTCCATTGAAACGGCCTGTGGCCCTGTTTCAACTGACGCTCAGAGAAGCGTTTCAATTGACCCCATCCGCTCCCGCCATCTCGCACGCGCCGTAAAGCACATGTCAAACGCGCTGGAGGGACGGCATCATGCTGAATGAAGGGCCAAATAAGGTGTTATTCCGGAGCCAGGAGTTCTTCTTTCAGCAAACAAAGGCATATGAGATATCACAAAATATCCATAAGAACGATTTCTCCCAAACGCTCCAAAACAAGTGTCAAATCAAAATTACCGTCCGTTTGCCGCCCAAACGCCGTTGACAAAGGAAGTGGTCGAGCGCGGATGCGCAGTGGTGTCGGCAACGCCATATGTTGCATACTGTTGAAAATAAAGCCATGTTTCATCTGACCCCGTGTTTCAACTGGCCCCGCTCTCCCCTAATGCATTAGGCTTAAACAGATCTGGCGCCGCCTATGCTTATACGAGTATATGAGTAATGCGACTGTCCTGAAACTTGTTACGTCGCTTCACCGACACATATTAACTTCGGATGTTTTTTGTGCCTCACACGGTATTCAATTAGGAGGCGCTGATATTGAAAATGGCGCACGAGAGAAGGAGGAGGCACAAGATGGAATTTAAAGGTTTTTTGCATTGTCTTCATATGAAATGCTTCACGAAATTTGATGTCATCCCAGTGCATGTAGGTAACTAAAATTAAATGTTAGCATTTCAAATGTAAAAATGGCGTTAAACTATCAAGTAAAGGTCTTCTCCACGGTTGACAAGCAGCCACAAAAAAATAGCGAGGTATAATATCTCGCAAACATAAGATATAATTGAATTAATTATCCGAGCATTGCTTTCTTCCAGAGATCTGGTAAAAGCATTAGTAATAAACACTCCCCTCCCCCCCCCCCCCGCCTTTACTTTTTGTGTGCTATTTCCGAAACCTGATAAGATATGAGCTTGAAACTTGGTCTACTTCAAATGAATACCTAGACCATATTTGAGTAAAATTTGGTGGTTGTAGCTCTCAAGATGACGTCACAGTGACGTCATAAAGTTTTGTCGTGTTTCTGACACGGAGCGTTCCTGATGTCACTGAGCATGACACGCAACAGTAAATGAACTAAACAGCACCTACTGTCATACTGACACATCTAAGATAATCTTCAACTATAGTTCCTGACCGGAGATCGGAATATACATATTCGGTCCCATGCATCCCATACATATCGGATAGGTATATCGTGAGGAAACTAAGACACGCCAAGATATAATTGGGCTTCTGACGTCACTGTGACGTTATTCTAAATGAGACAGACACCAAATTTGAACACAACCTCGGCTAGCAATACAGAAATGTGTGCAAAGTTTCGTTTAGCTATCTCTTTGCAAAGCAACGATATCGCCGCAGAAGTAAAGAGGGCCAACTAGTTGCCCCCCTCCCCGTTCGGCGGGTGGCGCGGAGGCCCTGCGGCGGCCGAATTAAGAGAAATGAATCACCAATTGCAATGGTTTTGTGTTAGAGATTCAATGTCATCACATCACATTTCATTTTATCATTTAATTTCATTGATTTCACACCACAAACTGATTTCGTGAGCAGAGGCCTCTTGCACCAAACTAACTAGCTAGGTAAAATCGAAACACCGTTTTCAGAATAATATAATCTAACTGTGGTAAATTTGTTTGCAATAGCCCAATACATAATCCTACATGTGCTTGCTAAATTTTGCATGCAAATTGTTACATTTGAGACTTGGACTGCGTATACGATGCAAAATAATCCAAGCATTGGTGCAAGAGGATTTTGGTGCAAGAGGCCTCAGCTTGTTTTTTTATTAGATTGATAGCACGTGTGCGTGGTCAGTGGATAGGTACTCAGCATCAAAGGTAACCCAATACATTCAACAGCACGTCAAACAAGCATAATAAAAGCAGCATGCATCAAGGCAGATAACCGAACGTGTGGAAGTCTACAGATATTAAAATCGTCGTAGCACTAACCCACCATTATTATTAGCCACTACTATAGCCACCATTATAGGGTTAATAGGCACATTTCCTCTCACCCTGTCAAAGTGTTAGTATGGTTAGTATGGTTAACGAGGTATTATTACTATGGTTATAATGGTATAATGGTATGGCAATAATGGTAATGGCATGGTATGGTTACTATGGTATGGTATGTTACCGAGGTATAATATTAGCGATGCTAGTATGGTTAGAGCAGTCGTGTGAACACCTCTCACCGCTGTGGACACCGTTTGGGAGGTGGAGGCCTGAGTCTGCCCCGCACCGGCGGCGGTCCCTCCAGGTGGCGGCCGCTGTGGATAGGTCATAGACGTGAGGTCTAAGACCTCCAGAAGGTCTCCTGACAGCGCTCTAGCATCTAACAGGTAATATGACAGATCTGTAGTCTCTAACAAATCACAAAATAAGTTTGTATCTTTCGTAGGTACTGGCAGGTCACGAGGCATGGGTCTGTATTCTGTAGTGTCTCACATGGCATACAAGATGTCTGTGGCCTCTAACAGGTCATACGAGCGGTCTTCAGCCCTCATAGCAGATTATCTACATGTAACCTCTGATAGGTCATTGGAAGTAGATTTGAAAACTCGTCACACGACAAATCTGAGGCGGGATCTAGCTCCCTCTCCCCATAGTTCAAAGGGATGAAGGAGGCCAGCCTCCCTGCTGGGAGGCCTGCGCCTTCCTCTGGTATACGACTGGTGTCTGTGCGTTCCTCCTGACAGTTTTATCAAGAATCGATACAAATATGTGCTCTCCTTCCGACCAGAGCACTGGCCGACTGATTTTGGGCAGGATAAGTACGCAAACGGCCCGCTCTATGTAGTATTGCAGTGGGCGCCTGGCTACCGGACACCAGTATCTCCCATCTGAGAGAAAGCGGTATGGTGCAGCAGGCGGGGTCTGCCAGCCCACGGCAGACCAAGTCTGGTCTGTGCTTTCAGATGTCTGCTAGGATGGTTTGCTCTGGGGCAAAATCGAGGACATTGGTGAACGAGAAGGGAAAGGGATGGAAGGCATCCGGGCTTCAGGCTCCTTTTCCCATCGTGAAACAGCGCTCACTTTCTGCACTCAGAAAACACTTTGAGAACATTTTTGAATAAGGGCTCATATGAGTGCCAAAACAGGGCTCAAATCTGTATGATTTTAAAATCGGGATCAGTTAGGCGCCCTTTTCGGGCTCAAAGTACATTAGCCCCGAAAGCGGCATCAGTTCGTCTTCCTTTTCGGGCTCAATTCGAGCTGCGTTTTAGGGCTCCATACGACATTCCGCCATTCCGTCTTTTGCTGTTTTCAGTGCCATGTGTTGGTGTACCTACCGCCGTGATTTCAAAATGAATGGTAAGTTATTAGTTATCAGTTATCGCTATCTTTTAGAAAAAATCAAGATGTTGATGCTCATGCCATTTTAATCCCTTATCAATTAAAATTGTGGTGGCATTTGTTCAGAAAAGGTCTGATCTACAATTGTGGCGCCGTTGATAAGAATACGCACGGGTTTGATTATTCGTTTTTCTTGTATTTGCGCCACATGAAAGCATCATATCTGGATTCAGGATGTCAAATAGTGTAAGAATGTGCAAAATTTTTGTCTGGTTCTTCGTGATGATGTGATTGAAGCAATACTTTCAAGGGTAGGTAGGTAAGGATTTTGTTACTTGTTCGTAATGGTTATCTTGATGCTCAACTAAAATTAATCCTAACTTTGCCTACTAACCTATTAAGTTAAACTTAGTACCAATACCTACCAACCTACAACCTATTTGGATCTTTCATATACTTATAACATGCTGCTGCTTCTGCTAACATGCTGCGGAATGCTGGTTGACATGATGGAATGCTGGTATGACAGTGTTCCATGTTTCAGAATTTTAGGTGAATAACCACACATGATGGGGAAAATATTTTCATCCTAAAAATATGACAAGTGGCTTTATTTCATCTTTGCTAAAAAAAATATGTCAAAAGTTTGATTCAACAGCCAGCTGCCAGGTTACGCATGACTTGACAGTTGATGCATCTACTCTACATCATTTCATTTCAGATCCTTTGAAGGTTCTGACAAAATCTGAGGTAAAAAATGGCATTATGCAGTTTTGCGGAAAGACTAAATCTATCTCATTTTGTCTTCAGATTTTTTTTTTATTGGGACACCCAATTGAAATCCAATTTTAGAACACTGTGAACACAATACCTTCAACTGCATGATTTTGCACAACTTCCATACAGGCATCCAGACTGGAAAAG